AACATTGTCACATGGTTGCTCGCCGTTTCGATTTTAATACATTCCGGCCACTTATACATCGAAGCACTGTTTTCGATACCTTGTATCCATTCTGCGGCGCACAACAAATCAACATCTCCATCGAACGTTGAAATGGTTTTGTTTAAGTCAGGCATTATTTGGAATTGCTCTGGTTTACTACTTGCAAGTTCGGCTTTTCTGGTATTAGTCTCGGCTCGCATTTCTCGCAAACATTCGGTCAGTGCGATCAACACGTTCTGCATATTTCCGCCGTCTATTCCAGTTGAATTTTCCGCCATGGTCGAAGTTCCTGCTTCGTTTAAATTGAAACAAAAGCCCCCTGTTTCTGCTTTATTCGGTTCGGTGTTGTTTGACGGCAACTCACTATGTGGATCACTCATAAGTCCAGTATAATCTTAGACGTGGAATCTGTCCAACGAAAATCACTTCACGGTAGATCCAGACGTTTGGGCACTTCACTTCACAGTAGGTCCAGACTTTTGGGCACTTCACAGTAGATCCAGACTTTTAGGCACTTCACAGCAGGTCCAGACTTTTGGGCACTTCACTTCACAATAGGTCCAGACTTTTGGGCACTTCACTTCACAATAGGTCCAGACTTTTGGGCACTTCACTTCACAATAGGTCCAGACTTTTGGGCACTTCACTTCACAATAGGTCCAGACTTTTGGGCACTTCACTTCACAATAGGTCCAGACTTTTGGGCACTTCACTTCACAATAGGTCCAGACTTTTGGGCACTTCACTTCACAATAGGTCCAGACTTTTGGGCACTTCACTTCACAACGGTTTTTAAAACTGCTCTACTCTAAACCTTATGACTACATATGTGCCAATTTTTAAATATACACACCACAAGAACCTCCCCACGCCATCTATCGTACAAAAGCCGCACCACACATAAAAGAACGTTAACAAATCCTTGATTTAAATTTGAATTTTTCTAACTTTACTCATTGTTGAAATTTGGCGTGTACTCCAATGTATGTCTGAAAACAAGAAAAGACAACGNTACAAAGGATTAATTCATTTGCTGGTATATTTTCTAAAATGCTCACCACTGTATCTAAAGATCTGGGGATTGCTAATAGGAAGTTTCATACTAAGTCTACTTCTTTTAATACAACTCCTGTGGAACTTAACAGCCTCGCCACTTCTTCAAATTGTCTAGTTAACTGCTCAAACTCTTCAAGTTCTTTTAACTTCATTGATATTAATTTTTTCCAAGCATCAACTGGCCCGTAATACCTTTTCTTTCATAACGTTCCTCAAGTGCTTTCCATATTGAAACAGCTGTTTATTTCCCTCTTATCAAATCTATCTGCGTATAAAACTAATTATTCAACAGTATAATTAACGTTTCCCAATATAGAACATGTTGTTAGAACATGCGCGGGTGTAAAGGAGAATTAAAGGAAAGTTTTTTATTGGAAATAATGGCTTCGTCGAATCTTTTGCAAATCGACTTTTGACAATTTATTGATGTTTCGTAAAATATCGAAGTCAAACAGATGTCAATTAAATCATACATAATCATATCGCTAATTAATTTAACGATTTCAGGAAAATTACGATTACCTTTCAGTAGAAATTGCAATATAACTGAGTATTCTTATCTAGTAAGGATTATGGAAGATAATAAATTATTTTGTGGAGGAACTTTGATATCCCAAAATTGGGTGTTAACAGCAGCTCATTGTTGCGATATTATGAGACCAAATCGTCAATATAATATCTACGCGGGTGCTAAAAACGTTAATGATACCCCAGAACAAATCGCTGAAATTGAATGGGTTTACATCCACGCAAATTATTCAAGGGAACCGTTAAATAACGATTTGTGTATTTTAAACATAGAACCCGGTATTAAAAAATCGAAACATATTAAAGCTTCTAAATTTCCTACTAAATCAATATTTAAAGAATTAGTAGATAATGGTAAGTGTACAAATGCGATTGTAATGAGTTTTGGATTACAAAATCGTAAAAGAAAATTGGTGTCTCATTTAAATAAGAATTATAATCCACACCTACAATGTACTTCACTTCAAGTTATGAATTTAAAGGATTGCTATAATCTATTCGGAGAGATGATAACAGAAAGTGTATTTTGTGCAAGGGATGCTGAGAAAGGTAAAGACGCCTGTCAAGGAGATTCAGGAGGCCCTTTGATGTGCAAAGGATTTCAAATTGGTGTAGTATCAGCAGGAATTGGTTGTGGAATTCCTCTGTACCCCGGTTTATTCACAAGAATCGATATATATGAAGATTTTATGAATATTGCTTTCAGTAATCAAACTAATCCAAATAAAATAATTCGGTCCATAACCGGAGAAGAATTTAGATTTAGAAGTGATTCTAATACCATTGAGGGTTCAATTATTATTGTTTTTATGTTGTATTTGTTGTAATTTTATTGGAATTCTCTGATAATAAATCGATACCACTGTTAATTATCTTTCGGATTGCTAGGTTAATCAAGCCGTGAGTGGCAGTTAATTGAGGATCCAATTAAAATGGAAACCAGACATCGGAAAATAAACATTGTATACTATAAATATGTTTCAATTATAATACCATTAAATTAAATGGTCCGGTTGTATTCCAGTTCAGTGGAGGATATGAAAAATACGTTATGGAAATTAACTGCACTGTTGATTTGCCAATGTAGTGTATATTGATGCATTATTATCGAAGTTACGTAATTGTAAAAAGTTACAAAATTAAATATAAACGTCTAGGATTTCCAGAAACTCCATGTTTATTTCAGACCGTTGTTTGTGTTAACTGAGCTTACTGTTTGTTTTGTTAAAATCGAGCTTAATTCAACAACGTACAACTTCTCCTATTTCTGTAAATTATTCACGAAAACCACTCCTCAACGTTAAATCGATTGCCACGAGGTACTACATCTTGTTTTTCGTTGAACATAACGGCCTTAGGTACCGTAATCTCTGGCGGTAATTAGGGCCTTCAATTAGCCCTTGAGTTAGTTTGCAAGGAACACTTTCTCCGGGTCTTATCTAAAGCGAACCTAGCGGAAACTCGCCTGTTGTGCTGAATGCCAAGTTTTGCGCTAATAGTTTGCGGTAATGGAATAAGTTTTGTAGACGATCTTGATATGAATCAGGACGAAATCTAAAATAGATTATTTGAAATCGAAATTTTCTATAAAATTTTATCGCAAGATTTCAATTTATTTTCTTTTATTCCGTATTTCTTTTATTCGCTTTTCCGAGATTAAGTTGAAAGTACGGCTGTTCGATATGGATAGGTTGGTTAAAAGGATGGGTTACCCATTCAGCGCCCCAAATAAATTCAGCCATCGGTCTTAATTACCACGCGAGCCCCGGGATTCTTGCACAATAACGGCTCGTTTCAAACGGACGGCGCAACTTTCATGCGCATTTTTCATGGTCGGATGGTTTCATTTGAAACTTCTACGCAATCGGCAGGCACCAGGGATTCATTAGGAACCGGCAACTTCCTTCAGGAACTTATAGCCGCGCGTCCCCGACCTCATATATTATCCGCTTTCCTTGAAAATATGAGAAGTGGCCGAGATAATAAGAGGATTCCACTGAGGAATCTTGGTGGTTATAAAAAAAATGATCGATTATTTTGCTTATACAGTGTGTCCCAGGATAGATGTTACAAGAGGTATGACTTAAAAATTTTTGAATTTTATTTTAAGCCTGAGGAATTAAGCCCTGCTTGGTGTGCAGAGAATTTTAAGCACAGTTATGTCAATATCTCAGTTATTATGAAAGATAGAAAGTTGCGGCATTCGCGAACCTGAGCTACTTTTTTGTGAAACTTACAATGGCGCAAACCAAATTTGCATAACCCTCTTCGTTTTTGATATACAGGAAGTGTTTGAAATTTACGATTTTCAGACACCTCCTATATCTCGGCTATCCGGAAACTTAGTAAAAAAGTAAAAACGGGTTCTAATAGATTTTTTCACGTGGAATCCAATGGTGCACGTAGAATTTTTGTAGTCATCACGGTTTTTGAGTTATAAACACAACTCAAACACTGAATGCTCAACTTCTAAAATACTTAACTCTTTATAACTCAAAAACCGTGATGACTAGAAAAATTCTACGCACCATTGGATTCTACGTGAAAAAATCCTTTAGAACCCGTTTTTACGTTTCCGGATACCCGAGATTCAGAAGGTGTCTGAAAATCGTAAATTTTGAAACACTCCCTGTATATCAAAAACGAAGAGGGCTATGAAAATTTGGTTTGTGCTATTGTAAATTTCACAAAAAAGTAGCTCAGGTTCGCTATCTTTCATAATAACTGAGGTACCCTGCAAACCCATCGAAATTTGGACACTCTGTACATTTTCATATTTTGAAAATCAACTCGGCCTTGATAGTGAAGCGAAAACTATTTTGAGTTCAGGTAAAGTAAGCTTTTTATTCATGATACGGCAAAATATCATTAAGAAAAGTTGTTCAGAATGAGAAATTATGGTCCTATACAAAATTTCAGAAGGAACTATCTACTTTAGTTGAACCATCACATTTTAATTTAAATAACATAAATATTGTATAGTAATTGAAATGTGAACTAAAACTGAGGGATAATACAATTTATTTGTCAATACTTGCGACTACTTAAGTCATTTTTTTTGTATGGCATTTTTCATTGTTTTTTTTTTCTTCACTCTGATCTAATCTAAAATATGGTGGTTTAATTAATGTTGGTATCTTTCTGAAATTTAGCATAGTGCCATAATTTCTCATTCTGAACAACTTTTCTTAATGATATTTTGCCGTATCATGAACAAAAAGCTTACTTTACCTGAACTCAAAATAGTTTTCGCTTCACTATCAAGGCCGAGTTGATTTTCAAAATATGAAAATATACTTAAAATTCTCTCCACACCAAGGAGGGCTTAATTCCTCATCCTTAAAATAAAATTCAAAAATTTTTAAGTCATTATACCTCTTGTAACATCTATCCTTGGACACACTGTATATTAATAAAAAAAATAATTTCATGGATTTCAAAAAATTTTGATGTTATTATGACGAAGCATATTAACGAAATGATAAATATGGACTTGATATAGAAGACTTAGTCTATAAGAAATATGTGGATGCTGAGGGTATTATATTCGTTAAAGAAATAAAAGTTGACCAATGAACTTGCTTGTAACGCTATATGAGAGAGAAGTAAAGAAGCTATGGAGAAAAAGAGCTGTTGAGTCTTGACTCTGATATCATATAGCAAAATGAACGCTGTGAGTAGATACCTATACTCACAGCGCAGCGTTGTCGTTTTTGTGAGTTATGCATTACAAATAAGATGATAGTAAAGACAATACTTTAAGGCTACGTGCAAACATGTTGGGAAGCAGTGATTAATCTCTTAATTATTTTAGACAAGGTGGATGGAAGCTTCGAAAAGTAGAGAACACTTAAAAATATACTGAGGAGGATATACTGAGAAAGATGTATACAGGTGTCCCGAAACTCAACGTCAAGCGGGCACCGAATGATAACCATACCTGTTCTGGTAAAAATAAGAAAAAAATTCTGTCTCTTTGTTAAGTGGTAATACCCAGTAATAGAATACCCAGAAAGATGGATTGGGCGTCGTGGTTCGATTACGTGGCCTCCTCATTCTCTGGGTCTAAATCCCCTTGATTTTCTTATTAGGATTGCATAAAAGAAACAGTGTATTAAAAACCGATTGAAAATCTTGCGCCACAATATTTATACAGCAGCAGAAGAAATAAATGCAAAGAGATTTGCACAACTAGTAAAAAGATCTTTTCTGTGACGATACAGAGCTTGTATTAGTGCTGACAGCAAATAATTCGAGCATTTGCCTTAGTTTTAAGAAAATAATGCTATAAAATTAAAAATAAATAAATTTGTTTGTTTAATTTTGTCTTTAGGTTAACCTTATTTGAAAGAGTCTTTTTGTAAGACATAAGGGCAACCATCTTGTTGAAACCACATTGTGTAGTTCGTAGATATTAAGTGGCACATCTTCTAAGAAAGAAAATAGTAAATACAAATAACATACAAAAGTACACAGGAAAAAATATAGAGTAAAAATCAACTCTAAAACATGGTTCAAATCGGTCCAATATATTTAGAGTTATTTTTTTGCACTATATAGTGTAGGTGAATAGATTAAAATTTTACACTAAATAGTGAAAGATGGTGTTTATTAAATAGTGTAAAATCGTTACTCTATAACAGTGTATTATATGTAATCTAACTAGATGTTGTCGTGACTCTAATTAGATACATTTCTAATCTAATCAGTGTAAATTATTAAAAATTCGCTCTAATTTTACTCTATTAATTGACAAAATATCACTAAATAGTGTGTATCTTACACTTATTAGTGTTAATTTTTAATAGGAAGTGGAGTATTTTTAGGGAAGTTTTACGTTTGTAATAAAAATCAAAATTATAAAATATTTGTTTTTATTTTTACTTGTAATATATTGTTATAACTTAAATTTAAAAAAATTAAATTCTGTTTATATACATATAAGGGCAACGATCTGACGTTTTGGACGTGGTTGTAATTAAAGATGTCCGACTAGTTCATAGAGTTACCACGCTCAACGAACTTAGTTCCGATCATCTCCCTGTGCTGCTGCAGCTAGGAGACGTCCCGGACGTTCGCGTCCCGGTTGAACGTTCCACTGTATCGTGGCCGGCTTTTAGCGACCACTTGCACCACAATATGGGACAAATACGACCGATCCACAACGCTCAGGAACTGGATGAGGCTG